TTCCCTCTGCTTAGGGCCGGATATCTGCGTCTCCCTCGTGCCGGCCGCAAAACCGGTGAAAGCGACCCGGCGGCCATTTTTCCGGATTTTCTTCGGCGACTCGGGAAGGACCTGTCGCAACGCCGCGACGCCTCCCCGGGGCCCTCCGCGAAAATGGCGATTGCACTCGAGCCCGGCAATGCGTAACGGGCTAATTCCCTCTTCTCCTTTTGAAACTTCTTCCCCTAATCCCGCGCCCCTCGACGTGGACCAGGGAAGCGTGAAGAGGCGCGAAAGCGAGAACCGATCTCCGCAATTATTGCCAACGGCGCTCTTCCCTTTTCGCGCGAGCCCGCTTTCGCGAAATCTCCCCGAATTCTGTTACCTCCGATTTTAATTCCAGCTACCCGATCCCCCCGCGGAATGAAAATTCGAAAATAGGTTCCCGAGACTCGGAAACGGCTTTTTAGATTAGGGATAGACCCTCGCGATTCGACGATTCGGATTTTCCCCCGCGGCGTCGCCTTCGCGAAACCGCAAAAGGGGTTTCCAGGGAACGATGATGGAACGTCGGAGTGCGAACGGGGAGTCGAGAGGAAAAAATGGAGAGAGAAAGGCAAACCGCGTGGTTCTCGAAGATTGACGTCAACGAAATGTCACCGCGCGCCGCGTGAGGCCAACGGGTGGAAAATAAAAATGCCCGCGTCCTTTTTTCCGCCACGTTTCGACGTTTAATGCATAAATAAATTCGCGCGCTGGTGGCATTCCGCGCGGTGAAAAGCGCCTTTTCCTCCTGACGTCGCGATCCACGTGGGAACGTTCCGAGCTATTCAGGGAATAACGTTCTTCCCCGTAGCTTCGAATCCACGGACAACGGAGAAGTATAGTGGCCAGCCCCTTGAAGATGCCCCTCCGAGCTTTTCGATGCGATTGTAAAAACTGCGAAAAAGACAGCTACTTGCGGGTAATAGCGGAAACGAGACGCGAGGTGGGAGACCGAAATGGCGGCGCGGCGCCTCCTCTGAATGGAGCGACGCGTGGCCGCGAAGGGAACTCCGGGTAACGAGAGGCGACTGAGAAATGCCGGTGCAATTGAGACTCCTACGAGTAGTTATCCGACGACCGACGTATATCGGAACAGGGGGGGCATGTGTAGCGAGTGCGTTATCGATCGTTCCGAAAACATTCGGCCTTTCCACCCTCCCCTACGGTTCCGCGACCCGGAAGGGCGGCGAGAAACGGGAACATCGTGTTTCCGGGTTTCGGACGAGAGGTTAAGTCGTTCCACCCTTAAAATGAGCATTCTCTCGTCTTTTCCACTCTTTCTCTGCCTATGGGAAAAATCCAACCCCCTGTCCTATCTCTCTCCATGGTCCACGTATTTCGGTGGATGCGAGGCACGGAAGTTCGGGACGCCACCGCGCCGCTGCGGAGGCGCCGTCGGCGCTGCGTGGGTGGCTCGACCAATGAGAGCGCTCGGATCAATATTAAACGAGAATCGGAATCGCGGCGAGGTCGGATCATGCCATGACCCAGGGTGGCGGCGCGCGGGCGCGCCCCTAACCTGAAAATCGAGCCCGGTCCGGTTTTAGGTTAGGAGCCGAAGTTTCGAGGTCAGGAAGTACTCGCGGGGGAGGAAGCTCGCTTCCCTCGAGGCCTCGACGTCACGCGTCGATGAAGCCTCGCAGGAGTGCCCCGGAAGGTAAAATTAATTCCCGCTTTCTAGATTAGGAGAACACTCCGCGGGTTTCCCTGCCTCGGTCGCGCCCCCTGGATAATCGAGTCGACTCCTGGCCGCTAACAAACTCGCCGCGAGGAGCTATCCCAATTGCGCCCGGAATTAACGGGGAGGATTTAATTAAACTTCACGCGCCGGAATTTGTCTCGCCTTTGCGTCTTGCCGAGTTTTGCGTCCGGAGAGATTTACAGAGGTGAGCTCACCTCCGGCCGCGGCGAATTAACGATAAATATTCTTTTTGCAGGTTACGCGGCTCGCGACCGGAATTGCGCGCTTACGCCCGGAACTCACCGGAAGAAATTCGTCAGCCGAGAGTTAATTACATGGCGGGATAAATAGGGTGGATTTAATTAAGCCCGGTACCGAACGCGCGGCATATCGCGTCGGCCGTTTCGTTCGAGCCGCTTCGTTCCCGAACGTTTAAACCAATTCCACCGTGTTTTTAGGAGGCGTCGAACGACGATCCGCCGGCGACTCGACGGCGGCCGCGGTCGAAGAATCGGCGCCGGCGTCTCGGCAAAAAATCCGGCGATGACTCAGGAGTCGTTAACACCGGGATAAGCGGCTGATAGGAGGAATCCCAATGCACGTTCCTCGATACCCGGCATCGGATTTCCCGCTCGCCGATTGGTCCGCCTGGTACACTCGGGCACCGGAAACTCGACACGCTCGCTAAAACGCGCCAAGCGACGCAAACGTCCTTATCCGACGACCTATTCGAGGTTATCGCGGATCATCGTCCGCGGCGCGCCACATCTCGGCCCGTCTCCAAACTATGGAATTCAGCTAATTTGTCAAGTACACGTGCGGCAATAATGAAAAACGTGAAAATCGCCACCGCCCCTCCCTGCCCCTGGGTCGAATTTACTTCCTCGTCCCCTGAATTTCGAAGTTACTCCCTATCGCTCGATTTCGCTCTTTTATCGGTCGACGGGGAGTTCCGCGTCCAACCACGCAGCGCGACGATTCTCGTCAATTGCGTCAACGTCGGGGCGCCGAAACGTTGTTTCGACGGCGATAGCGCCGAATGACGTGGAGTCGCACGTTCTCGCAAATTCTCCACGTTCGCGGCCGATAAACGCGATAAGGCACTCCTTCCGGGTAAGGCGAGGCGCGATACGAGGCGAGCGCGAGCAGCGCGTGCTTCGCCGGCGGTCGCGGTGGAGGGGCGGCCGCCGCGCGGGTGGGGGCTCTTTGAGGTTAGGATTGCGGCATCTCCTGCACTTTTCACGCCCCGAGTTATTCGCGACAATAAAGTTGGTCGGCGAATCGGCGCGACTCGGCCTGGTCGGGCCCTAAATCAGCCGCCGTCATTTTATATAATCCGCGCCGAGCAAGTCGGGCTTAAATTTAGCACCTCGGGGAGAGGAGCCACCTTTGTCCCCCCCAGCCTGCCTATTGCGTATTAACACCGCCGGAATTTATGCCATCTGGTGTACGCGCGTACGCGTGTATCCGCGCGCACGCTCATATATTCCGAGACACAGCCTCCTCGCCGTTTAACGTAACGATAACGCGTCTTACCGGTTACCCGTCTATGTAACGATTTTTCTCGCGTACCGGTATATTTATTAGTCCACTCGTAGGTATGATTATAAATTAATTAAACCTCCGCTATCGTCGCGACAGTTTTTCGCGGAAATTTCGGAATCACCCAGAGTATCTCGGAACGTCCCAGCGGTACGGCGCGTATGTATAAGGGCGTACATACCCGGAGAAAATATGTACGGACACGTAGATACCGCGCTTTGAAAGGTGTACCCACCGCGCCGCACTAATTCCCCGCATAAATAAAGGACTTATCTTCGGTTTGCACTCGTTGTTGCATTATGATATAGTAACCTCATTAGCATGGCGCTCCGCGGCGAGAGAAACAGAGAAACGCAGAAACGGAGGGTTAAGGAGAGAGGCCGCTTCCGCGATTGCATAAACCCTGTAAAGCGGATCCTTTCGCGTCGCCTCGCATCGATTCGCGGAAACTAGTCCGAAAAATCGATCGAACTCCTGTCGATTATTTATGTATACGTTTGTTCATTTATTTGTTTATCTTTTTTGCCCGTTTAATTTATGTAACGAGGATCTTTCGACGAAAACGACGTCGGTAGGCCTATCGCGTCGTTGCGCAACGCGATGGGTATCGAGTGGAACGCGCGACTCCAATCAGTAATCGATCGTTGCATCGATCGAGTGTTGTAACGATCGACGCTCGTGACGGATGTCGCGAAAGTGTACTCGATCCGATTCCCGTCCAATCGCGATCGATCCCGTGCGAGGATTTCCGAAAAATCGGGGTCTTGGAATTCCGCGGATTTCTGATATCGCGAGGTGGTCCGATATGGAGATAAGAGGATGCGCCGAAACAATTGTGAATTAATTTATCGCTCGGGTCCATTGACGTGACGTCGATGCCACGTTGCGGGCAACGAGGAACGCCGTCTCACGATTTTCCTCTTTTCCCCGTTTTTCCTAAACGCGAGCCGGCCTGTCCAGTTTAAGGGAGATCTATATAATGGCCGAGCTGTCAACCCTTTCATCCAATAATTGGTTACGTGCCGTTCGGTCAATTACTTGTCTCGTTACTTGTCGCGTCACTCTTAGTCGTCGAATGTTACAAGCTTTTAACCGCAGCTCTTACGCAAACCACCGTTTCATAACAGGGAAAAAATAACCGCCCAAGACCGCGGCGGTCTCGTCGCCTTTTGGCGATTTTTCGCGTCTCGAGAAATGTCGCGGAAAAAAAATCAAGGAACGAAATTTTACTTCTTTTTTTTATTTTCAACCCCCGTCGGTCCTCGTGCGCGAATTTTCAATCTTCGAATTTCAAGGTCATCTCCGGAAACGTCACGGGGTATCTACCTCGAAGACGTCTTCGGATCTCGTCTAGAGGGTCGAGATCGATCACTGATCGATTATCGGCAACCTTCTCGGCGATCCGTCACGAAGGCGCCATCGATCGCGCGGGAGAAAAGAGCGAGTGGTCCGGTATATTTAAACGCCGTCTATTGACCAATTACGAGGAATTCGGGCCAGTTGCGACACCTGTGCTCCGAGCACAAGGAGCCTTCGCCATAATTCAGCCAGCCCCAGGCCGGTCGTATCGTTAATCCTTACAATTCCGCAGCGTGCAATTAATCCCCAGGTAATCCGCGATCGAAGTCCCGAGAACGGGAGGCAACGGGGGGTGGTGCGTCAAGCGGGAATTAGGTATCGGATACCTCTCGGAGAATTGGCTTTGATTTTTCCGTAAAATCCCCACGAAGTTCCCAGAAAGTAGGGTACTCACCCTCTGGTCGGTCTTCCGGGGGTGGCACGGGTCCCAGGGCACAAGAACACAGCACTCGAGTAACTCCACCCGGGGCCTCGCGGCTGCGTGGCGGAGAGGGGGCAGCTGTCAAAATCAGCTGAACGCTCGGTGGGCGGGGCAGTCGAGCGGAGCGGCCGCGCCTCGCGAGGGCCGAGGGTTAGGACGACCGGGAGCGGCGGGAGTTCCCGAGGGTCCGGGATCGGTCCCTTCCCGGGCTCCCGTGGAGGTTAGGGTCGCGGGGACTCTCGTCCTCGACCGATCGGCGCCTACGCGGGTGCTCGGCCAGGCGTCGGTCGCCCCCGCGCGTCCATACGAGAGCCCCCCTCCCTGCCGAGGTACCCCCTGAGCCGTTCGCGACGTTCGCGACGTTGTCGGCTCCTGCGCAGGCTCGGCGGCTCGCGGGCTGGCGATAAGGGCGCGGAGCACGCTGAAGGAGAGGAGATGCGTGCACCACGGAGTACCGCCGGCGACTGGAGCCCGCGGAGGTCTGATAGCGCGGCCGCCGCGCGCCGATAGGCCGCCCGCCCCGGGAGACCCGGCCGACGGGTGGGGGCCGAGCCCCCGGGGTGGGGGCCATTAGTGCCACTGGGCCACGGAGGGGAGGGTGGCGAGCTCGTACAGGTCTTCGCAAAAATGGTTTCGCTTTTCGACGTTTCGACCCGACTGCCGGGGAAGATCTTCGGATCCGAATCTCCTTTTTTTACGCTCTTGGGGGAACTCGCCCTTGGAATGGGAATCTCGGTTCATTTTTTCGAAGACTCGAACGTTCGAATTTCCTGGAGCCCTGTAACGATTCCTAGGGTACTCGGAGTACTTCCGAAAAAATTGGGCACCCTTGGAAAAGTGAAACCACTCGTGGGGCGACCTCTATTCCGGCGAGCCCGGAGAGAACTACCCCTGCGGCCAGGTCGGGAGGAGAAGGCTCGGGCAACGGTGGCGGCCCGGGGGGAGCGCTCCGATTGGTCGCTCGGTGGGTCACTGGGACGCGGGGGTGCCGGCCGCGCGGCGTTGCCGGATCGACCCGGGAAGGGTGGTTTCCGAAACCCTGCCGGCGGTCGAGGTCGAATTTCGATGGCATCGAGGACGCCCGGATTTTATGACCCATGCCCCCCAGGAAAATTATTTCCCGTCTTGATAACCAATTTTCGACGACCGCAAACGCTTGAAAATTAATTATCGACATTTTTTCCAAAAACGATGCCAAGGGGGCAATTGGCGTTTTATCCATACGAGCCCGGATCTTTGAAAAATAAAATGGGGCGAAACTTGACCTCGAGCTAAAATTGGAAGTCGGTCGGAATAAAATGTCAGGAGATTCGCGTCATCTCCGTGGATTACGCGAGGAGTCGCGAGCCTTCGGGGAATAAAAGGAAAATCCAAGAATCCCGGGACGCGTACCGGGTCAAGGCTTCCTCTTCGTGTCGCGCCGTGGCCGCCATGTTTGTCAATGGCTCGTCAATGATTTCGTCCACGTGCCACGAGTACGCTATTGCGGACACGGGCCAGGAAATTACCATCGCGACGTTCCCCCTTGACGCGTGCCCGAAAATAGAGTCAGGTACCATTTTTCCAGCACCCCTGTTCGTGACGTACCTAGCGCCATGACGCATTTGATGCTCTTTTAAACGTTTGTATTTATTTTACGATTATCTCTTCGACATCGTTCCTAATTTAGGAATCTTTAAAAGTGATAAAAAAAATTGCCGAGCACGCTTCCGTTGATTTTGGGCGATCAAAGGGGAGACTCGCGTCGAGGGTCGGAGGTTCTGAATTCCGCGAGCGGAAACGCGAGAGGCCTCGACTTGTCCGCCGGTACCGCTACGTCACGTCCGCCTTTACGATTATAATAATCGTTAAGGGAGGTCCATTACCGCGACGGCCGCGGCCATTAGGCGCTTTTTCCTTCTCGACGGCGTTTCTTGCAATAAACCGAGGAGAGACCGGCCATTCCTGGGTTAACGTAACGCGAGTATTGCCCGGGATCGTTTCTCCCTGTTTTTCCCCGCATTCCCCCTCGCTCCTTCGTCCTTCTTACTTCCGGCATTTCAGTCAGGAATTCGCGACTTTCGGGCTCGGCTCGATTCTTTAGCGATTTTTTCTCGCATAAAGAGACGTCCCAGGCGCCATCTTGGAAGTCTCGGTGATTCCTTTCGTGCAGAAATTATCCTTTTAAAAATTGATAACATTTTAAAGATAACGTACGGAGAAGCTCGAGGTCTTTTTTTGGGAGGATCGAGTGTTTCCTGCAGGATCGTGTGTAAATTTTGAAGAAGCGATCCCGAAGGTAGACGGAGATCCTCGGAGGACATCTCCCTCAGGAAACGGGGAGGAGAATCCCTCTTGGCAAATCCCACGGAATCGGAGCCGTCTCCCCCGAGGGATTCTCGAATGTGGGCCTGGCTTGATTAAACGATCCTCCAGGAAGGGGATTCCAGGATCTTCTCCTAAACGACACCTTCCGAATCGATGCTGCCTAAAAACTCTGAGTAGCTCTTCGGAAAATCGCCTTAAGGACCTCCTCGAGCTCTCCTGGTATCACGAGGATCCTGAGAAAGTCTTTAAGCGTACATATTTTTTTTCCGCATAAATTCAGGTCCTTTTCGGGATTAAACATATTTTTTTAACATAATCCAAATTTCTGGGTCCTGTCAGATGGAGGTCCTTGTCGAGATTAATTTTTTTTTTAGCATCAACTCCGTTCTACCGGGTCCAGACTCGAGTAAACCAATTCGTTTCGACATTTTTTTTTCTCTTCGAAGTTTTGACTCTTCGAGGTATCAAGAGGTCCTGGAAGGTCCTGGACGAAACCCGGGATAACTTGCAGCAGGAGACAGATGGCCGACTCGTGCCGTCTGCAGGAACAAGTGCCAATATGAAACTCCGTCCTCTCTTCCCTTTTCGTCCTCTTCCTCGTCCTGGACGATTCGAAGAAAAGGACTCTCCGGAATGTCCAACCTTCTCCTCAGAATTAGCGAAAGTCCTCTCGAGACGTCCTCGCGGATTTTTCTGCTCCAGTTTGCGCCTCACAATTTTGAGATTTCCACATCTCCCGCAAACGACGGCCGCGACCTCGACGCGTCCGTTTTTTAAAGAGGAAAGCGACGATTTGATTTTTTACGAGCGTCTTCAGGGTCGCGGAGTAATTACGAGGCTCATTAATAAATTATCCCAGAGAAGCGACCTTGTCGATGCTTATCCGCCGCGGAAGGAAAACCCGGCGGGAAAAAGTTTTTCCCATTTTTTGTCATTTTTTTCCACTCCCTATCAGGCCGAAATCGGTGATAAAAATTCTGAGGGATCTCAGGACTCGATCGCATACATCGACGCTACGAAAACCTCAGGTGAACCGGCCGCGATTAGACAAGCGCTTCCGAAAAGTCGTGACACACGCGTGGCCTTATCAGTGCTTATCACCGCGCGGGTGTCGTCGTTCCTGCGAATGACGCGAGACTCGCCGATCGGCGATTTCGACGCCGTTCCATTATTTGTCCCGGCTGGAACAAATAATCGTCATGGTACACATTGGAACCGAACCGTCGAGGAAGGTGAAATTGGTAATCACTGATAAGAGAGACGAGTATCAGGAATAGTCTAAAAATTTCGAAAATTCGACGAGGCTCCTTTTCGTGGGAGCTCTTCAGGGGGTAGTCGATGTCATGGGAGAGGAGTTCAGGGGTGCCGGGGAAAAGATGACGGAGCCATCTCGTAAGTTCGGGACCCCGAGAGGACGGCCGGACGAAGACGAAGAGGAGGACGAAGAGGACGCCGAAGAAAGCCTCGCGATATCGGGGTATACGCTTTATCGTGGCAGAGACTTTCGCCGAAATTGGCCCAGCCGAAACAAGAGGACGATGGGAGATAAAGCCCGGCGCTCTTTCCTTCCCTAACCGCTCTTCAGGGTCCTCTCCGGGTCCTCCTCGAGGTCCTTATCGCGCGCAATCCACGCGGCTTCGTTCGCCGGCCAATAATCCCGGAGTTAATAAGAAAGTCAAGTTAAATCCTCCCCGTTTTCCGGTTAATTTTTTTCAAGTGAAACTTAATTTTCCTTTTCGAGGATCATCCCGGGGGAGCGGGTCGGTCATGAGAGGGAAAGTGGAAAACGCGTCAGCCCTCGAGAGCGACCCTGGAGAGTCACCCTGAAGGGCAGACCCGAAACCACCCCGTTGATGTTAAATTTAGTGGGTGCACGACAGGAATTCAATTCGACGCAAATCGTTCGTGTCTTTCCGCCACCCCTGAGTTTCGACGATCCCGTCACCGATCCCGACTCCCTCGGGACGCGTTCCCGAAAATAGGGGTGTCACCGATTCCGGAGCCACCCCTGGTCCTCTCTCCTTCCCTCTTTGCACCCCGAGCATCGAGTGCATAATTTGACACTGGAATAAGAAGAGAGTTCAAGGACCCCCCGAGAATCCTGGATAACGTCCTAAAACCCTCTTATCGGAGAAGAAATATTTTAATAACTAATATTTTTTAAGAAATCGAGGAAGTCCAGGGAAATTGTGGGGCGCGAAATTGAAAGAATCGAAAATAGGAAAATTGGGGGGATCGGAGGAATATAAATTCTGTCAGCAGGGGTTGCAAGGAAAATATCCCGTTAATTATTTCGTTAGAAAATCAAGAAAATCGGGGGGGAAAAATTGGGGCGCCGGATTGCGAGTCGAATCGCTGTCTGGAGGGGTTGAAAGGGAAATATTTGATTACCCTACATTTCGGGGAGATCGAGGGAAACATGGGGTGCGGAATTGCGGGAATCGGAAGGCGAGCGTTATATACCGACCCCCTGGACGCTTTCGCGAAAGCGAAATTTCCTCGCCGAGGGAAGCTGGGGTTGCTTCCATCCCAGATATAAATAATGATAAGGGGATGGCATTAAAAGGGGGGTGGAGGGTTGACCGAGCCAATGAAAGACATCGGCACATCGGTGGCTCGTTTCATCCCCTTGAAAGCGAGGGATCGTCACTGGGGGGGTGGAACATTTTGCCACTGAGTTACAGGGATGAATACCTACCCCTAATTCATTACGAGCCTTCCATCAACCCGCCAGGAAGCCAAATTTTATTAAAAATTTTCGTCGCCTCTTTTCTCGTCGGAGAAAAAGTGGAAAATGGAGTAGCCGACCTTCACCCTCCAATAATCGACCCTCCCCCTCCCCGACGTGGACGAAATTCTGATCGAAAATAAGAACGCGCTCTCCCTACCTCTTTTCAATTCCACCCTCAAATTACAAATTCGTCCTTCGCCCGGAAATTTTTGAATATACCACGAAAATGTTGGTGAAAATGGCACGAAATTCGCGGATTTCCACGCGTGACAATTATCCTTTCATTTCTTTTTTCCATAAATTTTAATATCTCCACGAGAATCCAGAGTTGTGATTTTCTTCCACCGGAAACGCCCACGCGGAAGCAGGAAATCCATGCTGGGTGGAATTTTCCATTTGCAAATTTTTCTCCC